CAGTGAGTTCCAACCCCCCTGCTATGATCAGGGACGCCTCCCACTAGACCAGTCTGCACAAAGCCCCATCCAGCCTGGCCTTGAACACCTCCAGGGATGGGGCATCCCCAGCTTCTCTGGGCAACCTCTTCCATTGCCTCATCACACTCTGAGTGAGGAATTTCTTTCTAACATGTAACCTAAATCTCTCCTTTTTCAGTTTAAAGCCATTCCTCCTTGTCCTGTCACTGCATGCCTGTATAAAAAGTCCCTCCCCGCCTTTCCTGTAGGGACCCTTTAGGTACTGGAACGTCACTGTAAGGTTTCCCTACAGCCTTCTCTTCTTCAGGCTGAACAACCCCAGCTCTCTCAGCTCTCTCCATAGGAGAGATGCTCCAGCCTTGTGGCCTCCTCTGCACGTGCTCTATCTGATCCACATGCTTCCTATTTTGAGGTCCAGGGTTGAACACAGTACTGCAGGTGGGGTCTCACCACTAGCTGATGAAGTGTAATGAATTATCTACAGGCAATGCTTAGAAGCAGCTGAGTGTGAATAAGAATACAAAAGTACTTGTGGGTAAAAATGACTTCTCTGTGCTATGAAAACAAATGCAGGTTGAAGGAGAAACACAAGTTAGTTCATTCTACCTTCTGAAATCACCTCCTTTCTTGACTTCCACCTCTGGCTATTGGTCTCAAAGATGACTTGACATCACGAAGTTAAGAACTGGTTCTGAATGTTTTCCTCAGAGCTTCTGTATCAAGCTGTGAAAATTTACCTGAAGGCAAAATGTAATTATATCATGCTATCTAATTTTGAATCACTAGCTCTTCATTTACTTCAGAAGTTAAGTGTTTCTGAGGGTAGGAGTACACTGTTTTGGTGGAAGAAGCAGTAAGATGGCCTATTTGCACTGTGATTGTCCTTCTGCAGATCTGAAGAATAACTTTCTTGCCTGTTCACTCTCCATCTAAATCATTAAAGCTTATGACAGAAACCTGCAGTTCTGCTTCAGTTTTCTGATGGCCAAGATACAGTTATACATGCACATCACATTGAATGAATTCAGCAATCCCTTTTCAGCCCGTCTGCTCAGCTGACTGCCATCTCCCCTTCAAAGCTCCCCCTTTAAGTTGCTTTTCCAAGAGAACCATTTTCCTTCTCAAATGGTGAAGATTAACATTGGAAATATTCAATTTTTTCTCTGAGTTTTCATCTTCAGGTACTCTGTTCAAGATCTTCAGTTATGGCCATTAAGCTGAATTCTTCAAACTTCAGTGTCTCTGAGGGGCAAGGGCTCTCCACAAGCTGCAGTTGCTGGTGTGTGTGTGTGTGTGTGTGTGTGTGTGTGTGTGTGTGTTAAGCTGACTGATTTAAACATGTTTTTTAATTTTCTTGACTTGTATTTTACATATCTAATGAAAATGTAATAGTTATTACGAAGTGGAGTGTTGCAAGTGAATCTCAAAATGTTTTTTCTTTTGTTATAGACCAAACAAGATGCAATGTATGGATTTTGGATGGTGACCTGTATCACAAGGGTCTCCTTAAATTTGCAATGGAGTCAAACTCACTAAAGGACACTCTAGTTATGTTGGTAGTAGACATGTCCAGGCCTTGGACTGCAATGGATTCTTTACAAAAATGGGCAAGTGTTGTAAGAGAACACATTGACAAGTTAAAAATTCCTCCTGAAGAAATGAAAGAAATGGAACAAAAATGTGAGTATTCTGTAGATATTTAGGATTCCACTTAAGTCAAGTGTGCTTATTGCTTTCTGTACAACTTAATCTCTCCATTGCAGTCTTTTTCTCTATTGTAAAAGTGGCTTAAGATCAGGAGTTCCAGGTTGAATTGTCTTATTTCCTGGAGAAACAAGATAAGATTTATCAAATGAAAAAAATGTAATGGCTTTCTGTTTTATATTTAATTATTTTAAAGGTGGATTTTCATCTTCTATACTGCATTAGTCTTTTACTTGTTCCTGTAATCAGTCAGGCTAGATAATTTTCGGTCTTTTCTCTGTTTAACAAAAAAGTAAATGTTGAAAGCATTCAGGATTATTTCATGCCCAGTAATGTTTGGGCCCTTTATGCCTGAGGAGTTATTCTTGACACAAATGCAGCTATGTATGCTTTGGTTTGGGTTTTTTTGTGTTGTTTTTTCTGTTTGTTTGGTTCTTTTGGCATGAATATGCTCTATCACTTTCATGTCTTTTTAACTTAAATATGCAGAACACAAGGTTATTGCAGAATTCCTTGATCTGACTGAGCTTGCTAGTGTCATAGCACCTACTAGTTTTAGGCAGCCACCGTATTTCACTTGTGGTACTAAATCATGAACCTTGCCCCTTCACCTCTCTGAATTACTACAGGAAGCAAGCATTTGGGAAGGCTGTGTATGATCAAATACTGTGATTAAAACTGTATTTATTGAAGTCTGAAATTTGTCTCTAGAATGATTATGTTCTTAAGCACCTGTTGGATAGCTTTTTTTTTTGCTTTTTTTTTTTTTTTTGACATCCAAGCTGTAGCTGTGCTGTGATTAAATGGGTAGTAAGGCAACAGCTTACTTTTCTTTTAAAAGATTATGCTAAGGGAGTGTCATTCCTGGGAGTCAT